CGAGAGGTGCTAGGGGACAGACTAAGAGACATGGAAGGGCATGGGGTAGAGAGTATGGCGAATTCTTTGAATGCCGCCGCCATTTTAAGCTCGTACTATGAAACCTGCCCAGAGATTGTAAAGAACATGTGCAGGCAAGCCTGCTGGTGGAGCAGTGGGTTTTGGAGGCCCTGAGGAGGAAGGTTTGTAAACTGTATAATGCTGTAAAGCGTACAGGAAACTGGAACAACTACTCAAGGGTGCTCACTGTTTATAATAGGGCTGTGATCACCTTTAAGGGTATAATGGGCTTGAATGGAATTTCAACCATTTAAAGCTCCTTGTTCCTGGTAGGCCTACCGATGGCATCTATCCTGTGTTCTTGCAGAAGGGTGGGCACTAGACGATACTCCTCTTGGTATGTCTGTTCAGGACAAGCTTAGCCAGTTGAGTAATACCAACAGCATGGAGGACCTCAAGGGTGGTATTCATACCGAAGCCTGAAAGGGACACATATGCTGTGCAAGGCTTTTAGACCTATCAGCCTTACATAGTTTCTCCTGAAGACCATGGAGAAATTAGTGGATGGACGAATAAAGGATAGGGTCCTTGTAAGCCGTCCTTTGCACCCGAACCAACATGCATATGAGAAAGGAAAGTCATGCGAAATAGCCCTGCATGCGCTGGTTTGTAAGATTGAAAATTCTATCTCGAACAAGGAAATAGCAGTGGCTGTATTTCTTGATATAGAAGGAGCTTTTGACAACACTAGTACTCGCTCTATTGCATCAAAGCTGGTATCAAGGAATGTGGAAAGCACTGTTGAGAGGTGGGTAGGCAACATGCTCAAAAGTAGGAGAGGACAAGCATCCCTGTGTAGGACGGTGAGAGAGGTCAAGGACCAAAGAGGATATCCACAGGGATATGGCGTCTTTGTCACCAAATCTAAAATAGTTTAGAAAAAAATGCAAATCTTATGTTTTTTGGGTCAAAATGGGAAAACCCAGATTTTACCCCATAAAACCCCCCAACCCCCATTCCCTTAGTCTACTCATGCTGATTCTCAAACTCATTTGAATAAATGAAGGTTTACACGTTTAAATCGGATCATTTTTAAGCTATCATGCTAACGGACACACACACTCACTCTCTCTCTCTCACACACACACACACACATATACGGTATATCAATCATATTCATAGCCTCCTCCAAGGTCGCGTTTAGACATAAGTGGCAACACGGTCCCGTCAAACCGTAACAGCTGTTGCAATGGACAGTGCCGAGGCCTTGTGTTTTGTGTTAGAGGATCTTATTGCAGTATAGGGTGTTTATCTCCTATGACACTTGTGTTATTTCTGTTATTACCATTAGACGAGTATATTTAGCCCAAAAAAGCTTCCAAGATAGAACAAATGCCTACGAATGGTTTTTCAACGAGTTTTTGGAAGTAATAGGTGTAAAAAGTACCAGAAAAAAAGTCTACCAAAATCGGACAACCGGAAGTCGGGTTTTTCCAAGATGGCTGCTGTGAGGCCCTCAAATCTACAAGATGACTGCAAATTCGTCAATTCATAGTTCAGGATTGGCCGATTTCCACGAAAATTGGCAAACACATGTAGAACTATATTAACAACCTTGAATATGAAAACCAGGCAGACAACGTAACCGAAAGATGGATTTTCAGGGTGTTATGTGCTAAAAATAAGGTTTTTTTTCTCAAATATAAGTTTTTCAAATATTTTGTACGAAGTTTATTATAATTTCAAAATTTATTTTTTCGCCATTAGATTAAGCACAAAAAACCTAACAATTTAGTATATTGAGTCTTTGTTCTGTTCCAATTTGTTACAGATATATTGATATATTGAAAGTAATAACTAGAGTATGTTTTCTTGCCGAGATATGTCAATGGTAATCTTATGGAGGATAAGCATAAGTAAATGTTAATATTAATTTTCAGTAAACCTATATGGAAAAGACTTTGTGTTCTGCTCATATTATCTGTTTTAATTTTTAAAAAAATCCTTTTTGGCAGTCACCATTGCGGCAAACCTACGTATTCGGTTCCTCAATCTTAATCATAAAGAGAATAAGCAAAAATCAATTTCTTATTAGTCCGAGAAATATAAAATATATAATCTTAAAAACAATACAAGAAAACGTTTTATGGTTTTATGTTGTAGTTTTGGGTGTGCAGAATCGGATTTTCCCAACATTGGACAAATTTTGAAAAAAAGATACCATACCGGTATGCATTTTCTATGCACAATTTTCTAAATATTGACTTGGGACCAACACCGATATTTATTGGGTGGTTAGTACTTCATTTTGATGGGAAACGTATTTTGGCCGCCATTTTGGATCCACCTTATTGGATATAATTCTTTGTTGTTGTAATGATAGTGTTGTAACACATTATTACTATATAAACTAGATTTTCACGCATATTCCATTGCCAAAATCTGTTTTTAAATACATTTCGTTTTAAACGTTTGTACTTTGAACATTTTTATGATTATTTTCCTTATCTTCAGTTAGTATTAACGCTTGCAGTTCATTCTTAAATAATTAATGATGTAAGGGCTTTCACTTGAGCTATTGATCATTAAAATTGGACGAGTTAGAGACGAGCTACAAACCCCAACAAAATATTAAATTTTACTTTTTATAAATCAGTTTTTATTAAATTATTTATCTCGGGTTCTTAATACGTCACCAAGTTCTTTCTGGTCTCAAATTACTCAGTAGAGAATTAAGTTTTTATTTTATTAGTCACTAAATAATATCTGACTAATAATAAAAAATGAGTCATGCACCTTAATTTAATATTAAATTATTTGTATTTCGAAATTTGTATTTAGTTAAGTACATATATCCCCAATTCTAATAACTCCCAATGAATAATCCAAAGCTACAGTAAAAGTCAATACTTTGATGAATCTTTTATGAGTATAAAGAGTATTGGGAGTTATTTTTCGATTTGGGGGTATATGTCTTAAACTAAAGAAAAATCTCAAAAAAAAATTTATTGTTTAATAAGACAGACCCATATTAAATTTGTCACATTTTATTTAGTGATTAAAAAAATAAACCCAAACATTTACTGAGTAATTTGAAACCAGAAAGAACTTGGTGGCGTATTAAGAACCCGAGATAAAAATATTTTAATAAAATGTAGGTATTTCTTAAAAATGAAATTGTATATTTTGTTGGGGTTGGTAACTAAAACTAGTCTCTAACTCGACCGATTTGAATGATCAATAGCTCAAATGAAAGCCCTTACATCACTAAATGTTTAAGGCTAGAACGAACTGCAAGCGTTAATATGTACTGGAGATATAAGAAAAAATAATCTTAAAAAATGTTCAAAATATGAAACGTCCTTAAGAAATGTATGCAGGAGAGTTTTCGTTTAAATATATCTTTAAAACAAAAAAAGATATTTAAAAACTCATTTTTGCAATTGAATGGGCGTGAAAATCTAGTTTAAAATAATGTGTCACAACATTGCCATTACATTAAACAAATTATTTACCTATGTCCAATATGGCCGATCCAAGATGACGGCCAAAAACACGTTCCCTATTGAAATGACATTGTCATTACGTTTAAAAAAAATATTTATATCCAATAGGGGGATCCAAAATGACGGCCGAAAACACGTTCCCTATCGAAATGAAGAAATTACCACCCAATAAATATCGGTGGTGGTCTGAAGTCAATATCAATGAAAATGCATGTGGAATTTTTTTTTATTTTTCCAATGTTGAGAAAATCTGTCATAATAAATCTTGATTCTAGGGGTTTCCCCGTAGACCGATTTTTGGCAATTTTTACTATGTTACTCTGCATACCCAACACTACAACATAAAACAATAAAACGTTTTCTTGCAATATTTTAAGGTAGGCCTAATATTCTATATTTCTCGGACTAATAAGAAATTGATTTTTACTTATTCTCTTTATGATTAAAACTGAGAAACCGAATACGTTTGCTGCAATTGTTTATGATTAAAACTGAGGAACCGAATACGTTTGCTGCAATGGTAACTGCCAAAAAAGGAATTTTTAGTAAAAAAATATTAAAACAGATAATATGAAGCAGAACAAAAAGTTTTATCTAGGCCCTATATAGGTTTAATGAAAAATAGTATTAATATTTATGCTTATTCTCCATAAGATTAACAGTGAGTTATCTCGGCAAGAAAACATACCTACTAAAGTTATTCCTTTCAATATCTCTGTAACAAATTGAAGCAGAACAAAGATTCAATATAGCCTACTAAATTGTTAGGTTTTTGTGTTGAATCTAATGGTGAAAAAATAAATTTGAAATTATAACAAACTTTGTTCAAAATAATGGAAAAACGGATAGGTTGAGGTAAAAAATCTTATTTTTTAGCACATAACCCCCTGAAAATTCATATTTGGGTTACTTTGCCTGCCTGGTTTTGATATTTAAGGTTGGAAATATAGTTCTACCACAGTTCTACATGTGTTTGCCAATTTTCGTGGAAATCGGCCAATCCTGAACTATGAATCAATGAATTTGCAATCATCTTGTCGATTTGAGGGTCTCACGGCGGCCATCTTGGAAAAACCCGACTTCCGGATGTCCGATTTTGGTAGACTTTTTCCTGGTAGCCTACTTTCTACACCTATTACTACCAAAAACAGAAGTTGAAAAACCATTTGTTGGAATTTGTTCTATCTCAAGTGCCTATATTTACCCGACTACATGGCAATAGGCACGACGTAGCGACGTCACATACCAACGACGCGGCCTTGTGTTAGAGGAGGGTATGATATTATACATATGAATTTTGAACGGATTATAATTTCCCCTCAGGGAACCTCAAAATTAAAAAGTAAATCGGTACCGGGTCCAGGTCTTATATTCCTTTTATGGGAAATTCGGTAAAACACAATTTTTAGGCTCTGTGTTAATACAGCATTTGATTGTGTTAAAAAAATCCCGTCATGTATTCATTATTTAGTTCCAACAATTGATATTGCTTACCAGGCCATAGCATGTTGATACTGCGGCTCTCGAGGCAGGCTTGCCGACGATTCTCCCACTGTAGTGGCATTGCCGTTGAGATATTTGGCTCATCTTGGCTTTGTTAACATTTTCTATATCTTGTACGTCTCTTCGTTCGACTACCAGTTCTGGAGAAAAGAAGTTTAAGTTGGGCCAAAGTTCAAGTTGGTGTTTTTCTCCTTCAATTGGAACAAAGAAATGGATTGCATCACCATCCGTGTGTTCAATACTATCTCTTGATCTCTTAGGGCGATTTTCTAGAGATTCGACGTTGTAATATTGTGGAAGATAATATGAAACAAATGACCCGTCTTTCGAGACTTTTTCAGGATAAACGATTTCAATTTTATCAATAGTCTGGTTTAGTCCATCAGTATAAAATCCCGACATATGTGGGTTGTGCTCGTTTTCCAAAAAAATACATAGTTTTAGAATTGATGCGAGAGAAAAAAATAATATTATTGAATTCACCATTTTTAACTTCTATTTGAGTGTGTCTTTTGTTGTTGAGCCGATTAGACACATGTTTTACGTAAACAACACTTCAAGCTGACATACCAGTAAAAATTATGTCTAGTTTTACAGGAAGTAAAACGCGCATCTTTCCTGATGACGTCATCGAGGTGCTGTGAAATACAACCGTCAATCGCATTGATCGTCTCCCCTTCCTCATATACATGTGACAGGTGATAGCTCGGAACTGCACCGCAGCCGCAGTGACTAGGGAGTGACATTCTGGCAATGTAACCGCTAGTTGTGTACATGTACAACCGTACAGCTAAACAGTACGCGTGACCCTTCCTCATTTGATCGAATTTGCCATAGGCAATAAGCTATTATCGTAGGTTTAATGGTAAAACCTGGACCCGGGATCGATTTACTTTTTTGCTTTTAAGTCCCCATAGGTCGACCAAGAACATAATCAGTACAAATTCATATTCATCATAATTTATATTAATATATATATTATATTTTTACAAAATACCACAACTGACATATATGACTATTCTCACAAAATATACTATCTAGAATTAATTATCGAATTTGGCATAGAGGGCCTCTGTACGGTGTAGTTGTGAACTAATACGATGTTTCACAAAATTTAAAATCTGGGGGGGTTTTATTTCTGGTGAAATTGGGTGGGTTCCATAATATCGACAACCTTAGAAATTGATCGAAACTGAATTATTCCCAGTTTGTCGACACTGGAATATTCCCACTTAACCGACATCCCAAATAACCGACGTCACAAAAGATCGACACCACAAATTGTCGACATCCCATATTGTCGACAATGAAATAGTTTCACTATGTCGACATTGAAATAGTCCCAGTATATCGACAAGCTCCCGTTCTTCGGAGCTACTCTTGAAAAAACCGTCGTGAAGTTAGCGGCTCTTTTCATCGGCGCTTTTTCGGTTTGTAATAGATGTGGGTTGGTACTCCTGCGGACGCCACAAACGTGTTTTGCAGGGATGTCGGAAACACAATTCAATGACAATACGGTGCGAAATGATGTTTTTATATTTATATAATGTCAATTATACATTGATAAAACGTGTATACAAGTTAAAACTAATTAATTGACGTATTTTAAAAGGCATATTTGAGACCGTACTGTACATTATACGTAGCTATGGCTTAACATACAGCGATCAATTAAAACTCCGAACATAAAAAGTGCATAATCTTTTTTCCCAAGCCCATCACATCAACTTTGAGCTATTCTAATGGTAATATACAATGTGTAGAATACTCAGTATAAATATGATTGAGGCAGTCCAGTGAATTACGAAGCTATAAGGCAAAATGTATATGGTTGATAGTAACTCGTATCAGGAAAAAGTGCACAATCTTTTTCTTAAGCCCATCACATCAACTTTGAGCTATTCTAATGGTAATGTACAATGTGTAGAATACTCAGTATAAATATGATTGAGGCAGTCCAGTGAATTACGAAGCTATAAGGCAAAATCTATATTGTTGATAGGAATTTGCGTCAGGAAAAGTGCACAATCTTTTTCCTAAGCCCATCACATCAACTTTGAGGTATTATAATGGTAATATACAATGTGTAGAACACTCAGTATAAATATGATTGAGGCAGTCCAGTAAATTACGAAGTTATATGGCAAAATGTATATGGTTGATAGGAACTCGTATCAGGAAAAAGTGCACAATCTTTTTCCTTAGTCCATCACATCAACTTTGATGTATTCTAATGGTAATGTACAATGTGTAGAATACTCAGTATAAATATGATTGAGGCAGTCCAGTGAATTACGAAGCTATAAGGCAAAATCTATATGATTGATAGGAATTTGCGTCAGGAAAAGTGCACAATCTTTTTCCTAAGCCCATCACATCAACTTTGAGGTATTATAATGGTAATATACAATGTGTAGAACACTCAGTATAAATATGATTGAGGCAGTCCAGTAAATTACGAAGTTATATGGCAAAATGTATATGGTTGATAGGAACTCGCATCAGGAAAAGTGCACAATCTTTTTCCTAAGCCCATCACATCAACTTTGATGTATTCTAATGCTAATATACAATGTATAGAATAATCAGTATGAGTATGATTGCGGCAGTCCAGTGAATTACGAAGCTATAAGGCAAAATCTATATGGTTGATAGGAACTCGCATCAGGAAAAGTGCACAATCTTTTTCCTAAGCCCATCACATCAACTTTGAGGTATTCAAATGCTAATATACAATGTATAGAATAATCAGTATGAGTATGATTGCGGCAGTCCAATAAATTACGAAGTTATATGGCAAAATGTATATGGTTGATAGGAACTCGCATCAGGAAAAGTGCACAATCTTTTTCCTGAGCCCATCACATCAACTTTGAGGTATTCTAATGGTAATATACAATGTGTAGAATACTCAGGGTAAATATGATTGCGGCAGTCCAGTGAATTACGAAGCTATAAGGCAAAATCTATATGGTTGATAGGAATTTGCGTCAGGAAAAGTTTCGGTTTGTAATAGATGTGGGTTGGAACGCCTGCGGACGCCACATACGTGTTTTGCACGGATGTCGGAAACACAAATCAATGACAATACGATGCGAAATGATGTTTTTATATTTATATAATGTCAATAATACATTGATAAAATGTGTATACAAGTTAAAACTAATTATTTGACGTATTTTAAAAGGCATATTTGAGACCGTACTGTACATTATACGTAGCTAAGGCTTAACATAACGCGAACAATTAAAACTCCGAACATAAAAAGTGCATAATCTTTTTCCCAAGCCCATCACATCAACTTTGAGCTATTCTAATGGTAATACACAATGTTTAGAATAATCAGTATGAGTATGATTGCGGCAGTCCAGTGAATTACGAAGCTATAAGGCAAAATCTATATGGTTGATAGGAATTTGCGTCAGGAAAAGTGCACAATCTTTTTCCTAAGCCCATCACATCAACTTTGAGGTATTCTAATGCTAATATACAATGTATAGAATAATCAGTATGAGTATGATTGCGGCAGTCCAATAAATTACGAAGTTATATGGCAAAATGTATATGGTTGATAGGAACTCGCATCAGGAAAAGTGCACAATCTTTTTCCTGAGCCCATCACATCAACTTTGAGGTATTCTAATGGTAATATACAATGTGTAGAATACTCAGGGTAAATATGATTGCGGCAGTCCAGTGAATTACGAAGCTATAAGGCAAAATCTATATGGTTGATAGGAATTTGCGTCAGGAAAAGTTTCGGTTTGTAATAGATGTGGGTTGGAACGCCTGCGGACGCCACATACGTGTTTTGCACGGATGTCGGAAACACAAATCAATGACAATACGATGCGAAATGATGTTTTTATATTTATATAATGTCAATAATACATTGATAAAATGTGTATACAAGTTAAAACTAATTATTTGACGTATTTTAAAAGGCATATTTGAGACCGTACTGTACATTATACGTAGCTAAGGCTTAACATAACGCGAACAATTAAAACTCCGAACATAAAAAGTGCATAATCTTTTTCCCAAGCCCATCACATCAACTTTGAGCTATTCTAATGGTAATACACAATGTTTAGAATAATCAGTATGAGTATGATTGCGGCAGTCCAGTGAATTACGAAGCTATAAGGCAAAATCTATATGGTTGATAGGAATTTGCGTCAGGAAAAGTGCACAATCTTTTTCCTAAGCCCATCACATCAATTTTGAGGTATTCTAATGGTAATATACAATGTTTAGAATAATCTGTATAAGTATGATTGAGGCAGTCCTCTAAATTACCAAGTTATATGGCAAAATGTATATGGTTGATAGGAACTCGCATCAGGAAAAAGTGCACAACCTTTTTCCTAAGTCCATCACATCAACTTTGAGGTATTCTAATGTTAATATACAATGTGTAGAATAATCAGTATGAGTGTGATTGAGGCATCCCCCTAAATTACCAAGTTATATGGCAAAATGTATATGGTTGATAGGAACTTGCAACAAATAAGAATGCATTATATTTTTTCTATGCACATCACAACAACTTTGAGCTATTCCAATTGTAAAATACATCGTAGTGTATAATATTTATGAATATGATTGAGGCAATCAAGTCAATTATCTGTGGAGAAATCTGAGGTATAATCTGAGGAGAGGTAACCTTAACGAAAGGGAAACAAAATGAAACTGCTTTTTGAAAAAGATAAAAATTTAAACAAGCTATTTTATTTACTTTATAAACATATCGTGTATGAAAATAATCTATTTACACAACCTTAAACTATAAACGTAAGCAAAACATGTTGGAAAACATAAAGATAAAAAACAACTAACTAGAATAATATCTAATTTGTTCCATTATACTGTAATGTTTTACCGAAACTCTGATCCATGATTCCTCTTGATCAAATAATTTTATTTGTAGTTTTAGATTTTAGTCTAGGTGTCCGAATTTGTTGTGCCGATTAGCTTATAGACTTTTCATCCTATTGTAAAACGATTTTTTATGTTTGTTTCAAGACGTTAGTGTCACTGTACGCTTAAGTCGACAATGTATTATTTTATTTTTCTGTGTGAGTTTTATGAGTAGCGCTTTACTGTTCCACTGTATTACAATAGTTGGATAATTTTATTTGCTTAATCAATGTTTTATCACCCCAGCCACAGAAAACCAGCGGAATAAGTGAATTTCTATTTGCTCGATTGGATTTTCATCAAAATATCTCCTTAAATAGTCATGTTTATTCCGAAGTTAAATAATAACCTAAGTTTAATGAGTTATCACGCGAGTTGCTACAACGAAGGGTAATTTTATTTGTAAAATGTTAATAGATTATTACTAAATAAATTTATTTGCCAAATTTCATACAAATGTGTTCATAAACAAGCAAACTGCAACGGTTTAATTATTCTATGTAGGTAATGTATAAATAACATGGAAATTTAAATTTTGCATGTTTTTCATAAATGTTTTTCTTTAACTTTAAGCCTTAGCAACTAT